TTTTACTAGTAGCAAATGAAAATTTCCTTCGATTTTAATAGTAAAAATTGAAATGTTTCACGAAAAAATTACATAGCCACAGCAGTAGACATGTCGATCCCGTGAAATCACGGATGACTGATATTTGATAAATTTGATAACCGGCCAATGAATTTGTTGGAAATCAGAAACATCATGACCAGTCATTTATTTCCAATGAATTTATCAGAAATCAGAAATAACGTGATTGGTCATTTATTTCCACTGATATTGATGACCGGCCAATGAATTTATTAGAATAGAAAAACATCCTTAGAAATAGAAAACATCATAACCTGGTTATTTTATTATTTGATAACTACCAATGACTTTATTAGGAAACATTATGACTGGTCATTTATTTCCACTAATAATTGATAACTGAAACATCATGACCAGTAATTTATCTCCACCCGATAATTACCAATAAATTTATTAGAAATAGGAAACATTAAATTTTTAAAAATAGGAAAAAGAAATAAGAAACATTGTCCATTAATACTATGAATTTATAGGAAATATGATAGCTGTTCATTTATTTTCACTGATCACAGTAATAAAAAATTTTTTTTTATTGAATCTCAATTTCTCATGTAACTAAAATGAGTCGAATAGAAACCATGGGTATAAGAAGTTATTTGCTAGATTCTGATAGCATAATATTTTTGATGTTTATTTATGATGGCAAGTTAGAAAATTTTTTAATAATTTATTAGGATCTGAAGAATTGATTGATAATGTTGAGGAGTTGCAAAAAAAATTTGAGATAGAAATTAAAACTTTGGCAAGTAAATACAATGTCAAACCTGAATTTATTACAGTAAGTAAAGATACTTCAATTAAATATGATATTGTTAATTCATATGTTTATATTTCTTTAATAATGATTTTAAATATATTGTATAGAATATGATGAAAGACTTTCAAGATTCTGATCAGTCTAAGAAAAGAAAAATTTGTGGCTATAATTTGTTTCAGAAAGATTGGTGGAAAAATAATAAAAATGGTATATATTTATTTACATGTCTTGATTCTTTATTAATTTTATTTAATTTTATTAATTTTATAATTTTATTAAAGATTATAATATATTATCAAGTAACACACAAAGTGCATGTGCAACAGAATGGAATGTTTTAAATGTAAATGAACAAAATATGTATAAAGATAAAGCAAACAATGTTAATGAAGAAACTAGTAAAATTGAATATATTGAAAATGAATCTGCAAAATACAAATATTTAAACAAAAAAATTAAACAAATGCGATCTGAGGTTTGAAAGTTTTTTTTAATTATTATTTATATTATTTATGAAAGAATTAATTAAAAGGTTTCTTCTGTATTTTGTCAAAAGTATCATTTATTAAATAAAATGTGTGGCGTAGAAATATTATCATTAATGGTTTCCAATAGGTCTCGGATGATTCAAAGTTCTTTTGGAACCCATATAGCTGAAAAATTCTTTAGAAATTCATTCACTATTGATAGTGTTGTTGATCATTTTCATGCTTTCTCATTAACTAAACATCATGGTAAAATATTCTTAATTTTAATATCAAAATTATTTATTTATTTTTATCAAATGATTTATTTACAAAGTTTTTATAAGAAAATGTTGAAATTATTTCAAAGCTCAATAACAATACAACATCAAATAATCACATTTCAAATAAAAAAGAAGCTGATATAATTGAAAATGATGCTATTAAAAGTCATATTGGTCAAATTAATAGTTCAAACATTAATACTATATTTGCTAGAGATTTAATAAGAAGTTTTTTGAAGTCTGCATTTTGTAAGTGTTAATCTCTATTTATGCACATATATTTCATTATTAGCTTGTTTGACTTATTTTTAATCTTTTAAATTAGTTCGAGATACAGGTATGAAAAAAATACCATATAAAAATTGGTATAATCAAAACAAATTTCAAGTATATGGATGGCCTACTGATATTTTGTTTAAGGATTTTATTGAACTTAATGAGTCACAAAGATTAAGTGTTTTGAACTCTTTATATAATATTAAATTTAAAAAAATTTAAAATTTAGGTCTAAACAATTTTTTTATTACATACATCTAATGAAATTAAAAATATTTTTATAAGATAATTAGCAATAAATCTATGTTGATATTCATATATGAATTAATGGAGAATAAGAAAAAATTTTATGTATATATATATATAAATAAAACTTAATCATCAATGAAGCTTAAATTTTCTAAACTTTCTAAACTTTCTAAATTATCTACATCATCAATTGTATCATCCAACTCATTGTTTAATAATTTTCGAACTTCTTCTTCATTTATATAAATATAAATTGGTATTTCATTATTTAAATTATCATTGATTAAATCATTAAGCTTTAATATTTCACTTAATGATTGTTTGGAATTTTCTAAGTTTATATTAACTTTGTCTAAATTTTTTTTTAAAAAAAAATCATACCCAGCCTTATCATATTATACATATATTTATATATGAATTTAGTTAATACTATATCAATTTTAAATTTTAAATTTTAAATGATAAATTATCTTTACCTGTAATTTTACAGTATTAGATTTGTCATCATTAATTACTTTCAAAATCTTAGATTGTTGGAAAGTCCAATGTTTGATCAATCTTTTTATTTCTTCATGTATTATCTTCATCTCCTCCTCTGCACATATTTTGTTTTCATAATTTTGTATTGCATTATACATTGTTAAACCTGATAATATGTCACAATCCAAATTCAAATCTATATATTTCCAAAATTCTGAATTATTATCCAATATGATTTCAATACTAGCATTTGGATAATTAGTTTCACCTTGAGGTAATAATTCTTTATAAAATTGATATTCATTAACACAAGACTCAAGTGATTTTTTATCATTAGACAATGTTATTTTAAGCTTAGATGACTGTTTGGTACCTAAGTAAATAAATAATTTTAAGAAAAATTTATTAAAAATAACAAAAGGTTTGCTTATATTAAACATACCTGTATGTTGAGAATTATAAAGACAAAATTTTTTATAATTTATTTCATTTTTCAAACTTCTTAATTTATCTATATTTAAATTTAATTGTCTTTTTAAAAAATTTATCAAATAAGTTGAATAATCATTATTGAATGGGTCCCAACGATCACATTCTAAAATTTCCAATTCACTTTCACAATTTTCAATTTTTTTTAATAAGTTCAATTCCTTTTTTTTTAACTTTTCTATTTCCTTAGGTTTATCAACTTTATCAAGAGACTTCCTAAAGTATTATTATGAAAATTCAATAAATTTCAAAATTATTAATATAAATATAATTCAACTATTTTTTGAATTAATAAATGCCTAATTTTCCATAACTCCATTAATTGTAGAAAATACTTCTCTTTGCCATCAACTTGTGCTTTAAAAACTGATGTATTTTTTAAAAATTTAGACTTATAAAAAACATTTGAATAATTTACAAAAATATTTTTTAAATTACCAAATTTTGTTGATTTTTGTTTGATTATTGTTTCTTTAATATTTTCTGTGGTTATTTGATGTTTTTCTTCTATCTCAATTATTTTTTCACTAGATTCATTTGCAATCTTTTTGGCTCTTTTAAACTTGTTTACTAAAAAAAATGCTAAAAATAATATCTTGATTATTATATATATATATATATATATATAACTTTGATATTTTAATTACTTACATAATTTCTCTATTTTTTCTTTTGCAATATTTTCTATTGCTAATGATAAAATATCAATCCGATGTCCTGATTTCATATATTTAGTGTTACACACAAAATGTGTTAAGATTGACCAAATCCTTTCCAGCCCCTCTCCATCAGACAGCCCAATGTTTTCTATTTTTCTTGGATGATATGTATTCTGACATTTGAGTGTATGTGAATATGCATGAAAAATAGACACACCCCAATTAAATCGTCCATAATCATTATACAAAACACTAGAAGGTTTTGAAATATAAGATTGAAAGGCACAGGCAACATCATATAGAACAAATATCTTTTGATTATGATTTTTGTATTTTTTATTAATTTGGTCTAATATATATTCGCCAAGAGAAAAACTATTAAATTAAAAGTATTACAAATGTAAATATATTATATTTCATTATATTAAAATAAAAATTTTTGTAAATGGATTACCGTTCTCCTGTGTTTTTTAAATTTATAAATTTAATTGGTATATTATGACGACATACACACCCAAATAAACCTGTATCATCAAGGAACTTTGATTTCAAAAGTTGATGGTTCTGGTCTGCAACTTTAAAGGATGTTTCACATTGTAATTGATTGTTCTTCATAAAAATAAATTTTAATAGGTTAATATAAATCAATATTTAATTAAAAATTGAAATTGATCAAAAAATATATAAATTAATACCCCATTATTATCATTGAATGAATTAGTTTTTAAATTATTGTTTTTTTTGTTTATTTTAATCCATTCTTCATAATCTTCATATGAACAAATGTAATTATTCATAATAAGAGGTTTAATGGTATTATTCCCTGATGTTTTTAATCTTTGTAATTGGAAATTGCCATCAAGTGCAATTATAAGATTTGCATCTTTTTCTTCAGGCTATATTATAAAAAAAAATGTTTCAATAAATTAATCCATAGAATAAAATGAAAGACCAATCAAAAGATTTGATAATTACATTAGGACAAGCTGGACAAGGAAATTCATCTTCTGGTTGGTTAAAAAGTTTGTTTACATCAAGTTTAATTTTTGAATGAATACTTATATAATTATGAAAAGCAGCTATGAATAAATAATAAAATTTCTAAAAAATATATATTAACAATACATATACCATAATATTAATCATAAGTTTTAAATTTCCTATTTCTTATTTTTTTTTTATAAAAATGATTTTAAACTGATTTTTAATTTAATAAAAACAATTACCCTTTTCATAGTTTTAAAATTTAATTGTTCTAATACTTTACAAAATGACAGATAAGTGACATTTGCTGTAAAAAAAAGATGATTGAATAAATCTAGCATTTCAAATCCAAATGCAATTGTAGGTTGTGTTGGTGTTCCAGGAAATAGGTGATAATATAATAAAGATTCAATTAAACCTTTACATAATGAAATCTCAACTTGGAATTGGCCTATATATTAAATAAACAAATTAGTATTTAAAATTTGTATTATTTTAGTTAATGAATATATACCTTGTAAATTGATAACATCTAAGTTCAATGTCTCATGAACACAATTGTCTCCACATATGGGCATTAATTTTAATGGTTTTGAATTAATTGTGTAGGAATAAATATGTTCACTTGCTGATGATAAATACTGACAAATTTATGAAATAGAATGTTGCAACCTTCACAAAAAAATGCTTGTGGCCCACAATTATTACAGAAAAATGTTGCATTTTTATTACAATTTATACATTTTTCTTCAGAATATGAATGTTGTTTTAAAATTTCATTATAAATAGTGTCTTTGATGTTTTCCCACTTCTTGTTAAGTGCAATCTGATCTTTATAGTAATTATTTTGTAATTCATCATAATCTTTTAAAATATTACCATTATTATTATCACAAAATTGATGTTCATAATAGTCCCCAATTTTATCATTGCCTATTTGATTTTGATTTTTTTCTTTCTGCTGATGTTTTGGACAAAATTTTTGTGAGCCATCTGCATACTTATTGATGACTACTTTACCAAAAATTTTTCTATTTCGAGAAATTGTATAAGGTTCATATCGAATAAAATTTTTTGGTTTCATAATTGTAAATAAATAATTAATTATGAAACAAAAATTCGTGAAACATATTACTAGTAATATTTTTGAATAAAATTTTTTGTTGAAACAAAAATTCGTGAAACATATTACTAGTAATATTTTTAAAAAATATTGAATAAAATTTTTTGTTGAAACAAAAATTTGTGAAACATAATTATAATTATTATATATATATATAATAAATAAAATTCTTTCTAAATTCTATAAAAAATGAATAAACTCTATAATTTATTATATATTTATAATAATCAATTAAAAAACATCAAAATATATATAGAAAAATATACAAATATATAAAATTAAATGAAAAACTGATATTAATATCTACATAACAAAAAAAATCCCTTAAAAATTATGCATCATCATTTTTGTATTAATATATATATATATATGATGATGGTTATTGGTTGTATTTGTTATAAAGTTAAGAGGAAACTATTTATGAAAGATTAACTAACAATGAAGAGATGTTAAAAAATGAGACTTATCCAATTGGAACTGGGAACCCTACAAGAAATAAAGATTTTGATGAATGAAAATATATATTTTAAAATATAAATATGTTAATGATTGATTAATTGATAAAAATTTTTTAAATTCAATAAAAAATATAATTGAGGGAGAGAGAGAATTATCTAGATTGATTTTGTTTAAAATTGAAACTTTCAATACTGGAAATGTATTGTTGTTTAATATCCATGACAGTTCCTTCTGTGTTTTTTAGGTGTTTAATAAAATTATTCCAGTCGTTATCTTTCATGTAAAGCATTGTGATATTAATCCCTGCGTTTATCATAGTAATAAAGTCATAATTTCGCTCCAACAAATATTTAACACGAATAGCAGCTCTTCTCTTCATTCTCTCTACCCGATCACTTATACTTAATGTCTTAAAAAAAAATAGAAACAGATTTGTTAATATTTAAATAAAATGATTAGTTTAATTATTAAATTTAAATTTACAAAATAATTACATTCATAATCATTTGAATTATGAAACTTTTTTGTTGGTTTTTATTAAACCCTCTTGAATTACAATAAGCTTCCAATTCTTTGTATAGATTGTTTAATGTATAAGTGTGGTACAGTCTATGAATTTGAATAGCCTTTTCCATGTTAATTGAGATAATTTCCTGACTAGACCACTGCTTAATACGTTTAATCAAACTTGTTTCATCATTGATTATAATTGTCGGGGTATCTAAATAATTGATCATATTTGAATTAGAACATGGAGAAGAAGGTTTAGAATTTTTGTTGTTTTCAAATAGTTGTTGTAATTTGATCGCGGCTCTTTCATTTTTATTATATCTAATAATTTTGTCACTATATGCAATTGTATTGTCATTTGAAATTATATTGATGATGGGAGCTGGAAGTTTTGTAAGCCAAGTGTCTAAAATTTCAACAAAATCTTTCATTTGATCCAGTTTTTTAAACCCATTTATTACGTTGATATTTTCAATTAACAAATCTTCTGAAACAAGTTTTGTTTTGTCTGAATATCCAAAAGTTTTGTGTAAATCTTCATTTAAGGTTTGAAACAGGCATTCTGGATCACTATCGAGTGACAGATTATTTTTAGTTAAAAAATTAATTAAATCCTATAAAAGTAAAATTATGTAAATAAATAAGCAAATGATAAAATATATTTAAAGCAAATAATGAAAATTGCTTATTGTTATTATTACATTATCATTGTCACTAATTTTTTTCTATATAAAAGATAAATTAAGAATATTATTAATATATTCAAAATTAAACATAATAATAATGGGCAGCTATATATAATTAATTACAAAAAAAGCAAATAAAAATTTTTATTACTTTATTCTTATTATTTCCATTATTTCCATCATTATTGCTACCAGAATTAAATGTGTGCTCCTATAAGTAAAATAAAATATAATGGGCAGTTATATAACCAATTACATGAATTAGAAACTAATTTCACCCAATGTCCACCCTCTATTTTTTTGCTAAATCACTGGTAACAAGTTATATATTTAAATGAAAATAAATTTTTATTGTTATTACCATAATATCATTACTGTAGTTATTATCATCGTTAACATTAATGGTAGGCTCCTATAAAGTAAAAAATAATAGTATTAAAGTATTGAAAAGTATTTTATATAATCACAAAAATAATTATTTAAAGTAAATAAAAATTTTTATTACCTTATTATTTCCATTCTTTCCATTACCAGAGTTAAAAGTGTCTCTCTCTCTCTCATATTCCTATAAGTAAAATAAATATAATGGGCAATTATATAGAATTAGAAACTAATTTCACCCAATATCCACCCTTTATTTTTTTTTGCTAAATTTTTGGCAACCAGTTATATATTTAGATGAAAATAAATTTTTTATTGTTATTACCATATTTTTATTATTGTTGTTGTCAACACTAATAGTAGGCTCCTATAAAGTAAAAAAATAATAGTATTAAAGTATTGAAAAATATTTTATATAATTTACAAAAACAATTATATAAAAATTTTTATTACTTTATTATCTTTATAATTATCTTTATTATTATCGTTATTAATAATGTCTTCCTATAAGTAAATAAAATATAACCAGTTATTCAAATTAGAACCCAACACCCACCTTATTTTTTTTGCTAAATCTAAATGTGAATCCATTACATTAAAATGAAAATAAATTTTTTACCATATTATTGCCATCAATATTATTACCATCTACATCACTTGTACTATCACCAGCTGTATAATTGCTATCAATATTATTACCATCTACATCATCACTTGTACTATCACCATCTGTATGATTTCCATCAATATTATTATCATCTACATCATCACTAGTACTATTACCTGCTGTATGATTGTCATCAATATTATTGTCCTATAAAGTAAAAGAACAATAGTATTAAAGTATTAAAAAATATTCAATAAAATATAGTTACAAAAATAATTTTTAAAGCAAATAAAAATTTTTATCACCTTATTATTTTGGTTTTTATTAATGTCATTATTATCAGCATCAATGATTTGTTCCTATAAGTGAAATAAGTTATAATAATATTTTTTTAATGTTAATACCCTGTCTAATTTGCATTTATATAATGAAAATTAAAACATTTTAAGTAA